GACACTCTGAGCTTCCTGTTTCCACCGGTTAACTGCACATACTCACAGGTACACACCATCTTACACCTACTTGCAGACAGGAATCTGAGGCACAGAGCTGTCTCCAGGAAGTGGGCTCCCGCGGCGCGGCTCTGGGTCCCTGCTCGCAGACACCGCGAGTCAGGCAGGCAGCCACGCGATTCCCACCACTGACGGATACGCGGACGGGACGCGGCTTCTTCCTTTTTCCCGGAATGGTGCCCTCTTTTGCACGATCTATGAAACACTGAGGGAAACTGGCAGGCCAATGAGAACTCCGTTACTCTCTGCCTCTAGCGATCGGACCCTGACCCTTCTGAGAGAAGCCCGGCTGACCTGAAGCGAGACACCGTCAGCGCTGAGTGTAGACTGGAAGGTCGTATCCACACTCGGATTGCATTTTTCAGTTTTTAATATTAAAAAGTGACAGTCCATTCTGTGCAAGTGGGAAGTTAGAGGCAGTTTACCTTTTCCATCTGCCTGGGTTTCTTCTTACTAAAATCAAATCACTCAGAGTATTTAAGTTTCGGAACACATTATGACAGTTGGTTTCATGTGTCAACTTAGCTGGCCACGGAAGCCCAGATATTTGGACAGACGGTACCCGGGTGTGTCTGCGAGGGTCCTGCGATGCCAGGTGGGCAGAGTAAAGACTATCCGTCCTAATGTGGGTGGTCTTATCCAATCAGGTGAAGGCCAGCATAAAACAAAAAGACTGCTCTTTGCCAGGTAAGAGAATTCTTCCTGCCTTCTGGCTTTCAGACTGGAACACAGGTTTTTTTTTTTTTTTTTGCCTTTAGACTCAGATGGCGACATTGCCTCTTCCTGGGTCCCCTGCCTGCTGGCCACCCAGCAGGACCACTGGCCATCCTGGTTCTCCAGCTCGCGGGCCAGCCTGCACGTCTGGGAACATGCCAACCTCCGTAAGCATGTGGGCTGAATTCTTACGATCTCTGTATGTGATATGTACTGTACTGCACGCATGCATGCGTGTGTACACCGTACCACACTGTACTTGCTCCGTTTCTTTAGACAACCCTAATACAATTTCACATTTCTCAAACCTAGTCTTCTCTTTCCTAGTTCACTAGTTCACTTCTGTGGTCTTAGCTGAGACCCTCCCCACTCCTTTTTTTTTTTTTAATTAGCCAGAGAGTGTGCACTTGCTAGAGAGAGACAGAGAGAGCGGAAGCGGGGGCGGGGGCGTGAGAAAGCACCCCCTTGTGGGGATGGTCACACCACAGTCCCTTCCCCAGTTTCCATTCCTTTGAAGATTTTTGGCATACATGCACACACACCTGGCATGTTTTTCAAGCCACTGGGTCCAGGACTGGAGCCACACAGTCAGCCATGTGGGATCCAGCCACGTTAACCAGCACACAGCTCCCCAGTCCCTTCTCCCCATTTTTAAAGTTAAATGCAATTTATCAAAAAGCCCATTCACAGATGAGTGATTAAAGCTGCAAGAGGCCCTTCCTAATTATTTCCTGGACTGGAATAATTTTTCTGCTCCAGCGTCACCGTTTCCAATTCACCCATGTCCCTGGCTTCTGGGGTACTTTTTGTTATAACTGCCTGAGAGTGCATGCGCTTGCCAGAGAGATGGAGGGAAAGGAAGAGTGCCCCACGGGCGTGCGGTCACGCTGCAGTCCCTTCTCCTCTGCTTCTCCATCCCGCTGGGATTTGGGGCACGCATGCACACATGCCCAGTGTCTTTCAAGTTGTGGCAGGGGTTTGAGCTGTGGCTGGCCACGTGGCACTCCTTTCAAATCCAAGTGGACCAACGCCATACTGTTTTTACAATCATGGTTAGCGGGCTGCGGCAACCTTCAGGATCGGGAGCAGTTTGCACGTGTAGACAGAGACCTTAGTACTGCGGTGGCTC